GTTTGGGTGGAATTCATAATCTTGTAGAAAGAAAACTATAATGTTCATGATATTGTATAGTATAAAAGTAAAAAAAAATCTCAATAAAAATCATATAATTAAGATTAAGTTTGTGTGAGTTTCTAAACATTAAATGCATATCTCTTACAGTAACAAATACTGTCCCTCATTAGACTTTACTATAAAACTAACTGTATATATATCAAGTGTTTAAAATGAGCACCCATATGTATAGCTTAAATATTCTACCTTTTCATTTTTACCAAAGGTTATTTTATGAGCAATTTACATACAAACACATAGAAAATAATAATTTCACATATTGATTAGAATATTCCTCTAGCAGAATACCTATAGTATATGTGCTAACTGAACAAACTAGAAAAATCTGGTCTAAGGTATATAAAGCCAGTAAAAAATTATATATCAACATTCACTCATCATGGCCTCTATGCTTTTGATTACCTTACAACTGGTAAATTTTATTAAACAAAAATAGTAAGTAATACCTAACTTCACCTAAGATAGACAGAAAAGAACAAATAATTTAGTAAACATGAGTTACTTCCCCTTAAAATAGAGAAAACCTGAAACCCAAAAGAACACCCCAAACATCAAAATTAAGAAATGTTGCAGGCTCAGTTTTATTAAGCCATGCAAATTCATGTTAAAGTATTCATAAAAAAATACATAGCCATGTGACAGCAGTTTTTGCAGAAAATCGGATAGCTTTCAACATCCGGATACTGGTACACCTTGTAAAAACAACCATTCTATGAAACAGATAAACGTAATATATAAAATTAATAGGATAATCGTTTATAACAGTCCATTACCTATCCTTATACTAATTGGCAGGCGAACTTTCTTCTTGTAGGAAAATTTTGAAAATATATAAATGAATGAACGAATGGATACGGCATCAATGTAGACCACAACGATATTCGAAATCCGGGTTTTAGTATTCAAACAAATACTTGCGAATTTCTCAAGTGTGTCGAAAGGATGTGCGGAATTGTGTAAATATATCACGCTGATATTTCGCGTGTTGATAAAAATACTGTTTAGATTCTACAAATGTATATGATTTGAAAGGAAAATGTTTCTATGTAACTTTTCACGGAGATGGGCTGTACAATGATTGCGTAAAAAGCCAATAAAATGTCGGCTGTAGAAATCGAAAGGAATTTTGTCACGTGACTTTTGCCCATGCTACCGAAAGTTTCCCATCACAATATCACGGCGTTGAGACGCCGTGAAATTACTGGATTCCGACCATGTTCCTGACAAAATTAAACAGTTCAATGATATCTATCAGATAACAAATTTATATTTAAGTAAAACATTGCCACTTTAAAGAGCTATAAGAAACATTCAAGTCATGTTTATATTTTTTTAAAGATAACTTTATACATGGTTTATATTGACCGTTAGATTACCATTAAGTGATCTTCGGTAAAAAAGACTTAAAAATGTTATAATAGAGAAAGGAACTCTAAGAAATGTAAACATAATAAAACAAAACAAAAATATGCACATAATATTGATACATATCTAAGAAGAAGTTCATCACCAATGGTTAGACTGTATAATTTATTTTCCTTCTTCCGTGTATGGAAAATTAGAATAACATATTTAGAAGAGTTTCCTTATTTTGTTTCCTTATGTCGATTTATAAAAGGACCAAACCAATTCCATTATAGATTGAATCACGGTGTCTTTAAGAACTTTTAATTCTAAGGATACAGTACAATTTAAGTGTTTGAGCAACCTAATGGTAAGTATTAAATATCACTTCTAACTTTTTTGGCTTCAAAATAATCGCTGTATGCTCTTTCATTCATTGATAATAGGTCTTTGCAACATTGCTAATCGTTAGAAATGCCTGCATAATATTCACAACAGCAGTACTTTTTTTATTATTGTCATCTCACTCGTATGTCTTGGTCAAACGTATTCACCATAGTTTGCTCTTTCGTTTCTAATTGTACCTGGATAGGTTGGTATATTGCTCATGAGTTGGTTTGGAGATTTAAAACTTTGATGCCGAAGGTGATGGAACGTGAACATAATTAAATAAACGTCTGACTTGACCAAGCATAGATGCACATAATGTTAAATTAGCTTATAAGATTTTATAAATAGCTCTAATTAAACTTTAAGATTAACAAACATTTCATATTATCATAAAATTTATAAAAAGTTTGTGATCACGATTTGAAATTTTACATGGAATTCATTTACAAAATTAAATTGTTATTAATAGAAACAGTGTTTATATGTTACTTTTCTTGTTGCATATAAACTCGTTATCATTATAATAACAATACAATATAGTATTATAATAACAGTGTTGATGGGTTGTATAGTTGTGTCATACAGTGAAAAACGCTCTGTATTTTAAGTAAATGAAAGTGATAGTATTGATAGTTCTTATGTGACAACAATGTTTTTGGCGTTTTTGTTTGTTGTTGACTTTTTTGTTTTTTTGTTATTGTAACCTAAAGTTTTAAGAATTCAATTTTATAATTAACGTATGGTTTGTTATTTCAATTTTGTACAAAAATAAAGAGTTCATTATTCTTCTGTTTAAATGGATTTTATTTAGAGAGTTGATAATTTTGGATATGTAGAAGAAGTAATTGACAATAATTTGATTCAATTAATGGACAATTATTCAATATTAGATGTTCAAATGTTTGGTAGATGGTATCCTTATATAAAATAAATTGCACTTTTCAACACATTTTTCGCAATATTCGGATCGTTCATGTAATGCAGATCATTGATAGAACTTTCTAAAGAAAAATGCTTAATATTTCTATCGTATGTATTTTGTATGTTAGATATCATAGAACTGTTGTTTTTTTTCAGGAACATGTTTGAAATCCAGTGATATATCTAAGTATGTTTTTTAAATAAAACGAAACAGGAAAAAAATATTCTTGCATTGATAAAAGCAAAACACTATCTTGACATTTTGTCCGCTCGAGGTGAAACATTTACTTGTTAGCATGTATCATAGGTAATCAGATTCAGCTATTTTAAACAGGATGTGAAATTTGTGTTGCTTGTCCTTGCCTTCATCAACCAGATGATGCTTGGAAGCTGTTGTGGAAAAAGAAGAAGAAGAATAACTCATGGACCAACTTATCCTTGTCTAACAGATCCATGTACTCGTAGATATAGGAAACGGAGATCTATGCATTCAACAAACATGACGGAAACAGATCTCCTTCAAAAGGTTGTTATAATCTATCAATTTATTTTATCATTACTTTGAATTATTATTCGTTCATACAATATTTAAAGTTAAGGAACGAACTTATACAGAGAAATGGTATATATATTGAAGATAATATTATATCTTATCGAATATATAATTATACTCCGTAAAATATAATATTATCGTTTAATTTCCCGACTGGCTGGTGATATAAATATATGTGTCACTTATAAAAATGCATAATGCATAAAAATATATAACATGTCAGAAACATCGGTTTACAAAGTAATCAAAATTAATGAATGCCATTGCGTATTTATGCCACCAGCCAGTCTGGAAATCAACGATAATATTGTATTTCATGGAGTATGGTGAATACCTACTAGTTTTCTTCCCTCAGATTGGAACTGAACTGAACATTATACCTGTAAAGAACCTATGCAAGTTTGAGACCTATGACATGGATAGTGATGGAATGATCAAACAAGAGGAACTAGAAGCCATATTTGGCATCAGAAAAGAAACAAAAGATCTCATGACCTTCATGGACTTTAAAGATAGTTTGTAACATTCTTTTCTAAAAATAAATAATATAAAACGATCAATTTTAGAAATATAACACCTGATTTACACATTTGGACAGGATGCACAAACCATTGGCAATTCAATGCTTGTAAATAAAATGACATGTTCCCCCTATAAAATAGTTCTATTACATAATTAAAACGCAGATATCTTACTTTCCCTGCATGAATATAATTTTCTAACAAAACAGTTTTTAATCTTATTACTTGCAGATGATGGTATGATAAGTGTGGACGAATTTTGTGTCGCTGGCCCTCATCTTATAAGGGAATGTGAAGGTTACACATGCGTCAAAATGAACCAGATTGACACCGATTAAACCTTGATTGTCGGTTATCAGAAAATGTGTTTTTTGTTGTTGTTTTTTTTTAAATTCTTTTAAAATTCACTTTCTTTTCTATTCTTTATAAATACCAAATAATGTTCATTGTGTAAATTACAGATTGGTTGGTGCATAAATCACTATTGATACGTCCAGTAAAATACTAGTTGAATATTTTGTTACGGACACTTTATTCTGTTGCCATTTTTATTTTTTGTATTTTAAAAGGAATGCGTTGTTTTAAACTGAACTTAACAGGAAGTACAATTTAACAACTCAGAATCTGTATCTGTATTTCCTAACGTCATAACATTGGCAAGTTATTATGAACATGTTTCAATTCAATAAAATAATTACATATGAAGATATTCTTTGCATTATACAAAGGAAGGTTTAAAGTTTTATCACTGCGCTGATAACTAATAAATAGGACCTAGAATCAGTGCAAAAACTAAGGTCGTTCTAATATGGACACGTGTATTAAAAGTGTCATGTAAAATAAAGTGTATATCAACCAATATATGAACATCAAGGGCAACAAACTCGCGCTGATCACAAACTACTTTAACGACGTTACCTTACAAATATCATATTTTCCACCCTACTCAGAAAAAACTTAAGCGTACTAAAACAATGCCCATATCTGAGACATATTCGTGAAATGCATCATCAAAACATTCAGTAAGAAGTCATGTAACGGTAGTTTACGCATGTTCTCATGCCGATTACATAATAGTTTTTCTTTACTGCTAAGTCATTTTTAGCAAATGACAATTCTGGCGTTTGCAACCATTCGTACGTGTTCTCGAAATCGATTCATATAACCAACAAACCTTTAACCATATTATACGTTGTTTTTGTTTTTTATGCCAATCATTTTTTAATATCAAGCAAAACTGTGATTCGGCGCATAGTTGCGTAACATATTATTGTTTCGGTGCATAATATCACATGTGCACGGGGAACGTAAACGTTCAATGATGTCTAAAACTTTACTGTCGCTCACAATATATTATGTCGTCAGGTCGAGAACATTTTGTGTGGGTTGAACCCTTAAAGTGGTTAGGTACTGTTTTGTTTATTACTATAAAGCACAAACAAACAAAACAAAATTGCGATAGGTTGTTATGTAACTGAGGCAGTGGCAAAATGTTTTTGATCATCCTCGAATATACAGGTAGCAGTGTGTAATAATTTTATATAAACTCGTATTTGACTTTTAAATAGAATTACATTTCCAGCCGCTTACAACTCATACATGTGTTCGATGTAAATCTAAACATAATTAATTTACATCCAATGCCAAATAAATATTATGGTAGCAGTATTTATATTAATTCATTTGTTAGTTTTCCTATGCATTTATATGAAAAGGAATTTGTTTTGTTCTGATTCCCTCTTTATTGCTTTTGTAAATTTTATGCTGGGATGGTGTTATATGATGGAAAGAATGATATGCAGGAAAAATTCCTCTTACTTAAAGGAAGAGTAAAGTCCCCGAACATCTATCGTAATCTACAACAAAATTAAATGAAACGTGCATTTCTATTAAAACAAAGTTATTTAAGACCAATTTAATAGCATATAAGACAAGACCGAATGACAAATTATAAGTAAGTTTGTTAAACCTTGTTATATAATACAAAAGAGTAATTGTAAAACTTGAAATGAGTATGGCTACATATTTATAAACATGCTATTTGAATGCGAATTAGTCCTGAGAAACCAATTTTTTAAGTTCTGTAGATCGCACACGGGTTTATAATGTTTAAATAATGGTTAAAGAGCATAGAAGATGCTCTTCACCTGGAATAAGAATCACTGAATCGAAAAGAATTTGTCATACCAGAAGCAGCATGTAAACAAGGTAGTATTTTGACTGCTATACCAAATACTAAATCACTATAACTGTATTAATTGCTATAAAGCAACTTTAGCCAAAGATGGCTCAAGTAATTCGCCGATGAATAAATTATTGGAAACCATGACAGAACGCAAATAAAACAAAAGAGAGTTGAGGGGACTAAACGTAAAGGAAATTTTTTTTTAAAAAAAGAGAAAGGGGTTATGGAACCGGTACATCACAAATGTAAAGCAGGCGACTTAGTAAGAAAAGTAAAGCTACCAGTATATCAATTGCAAAGGTGAAATATAAGCAAAACTGTCCTAAAATATCATTTAAGATCGAGAATAGTTAATACTTTTTTAAATTTTGTTTAAATGTGTAATTCTAAATGGTAAAAGTAAAGAAAAGAAAATCGTCAAGTATGATTAAGATAAATATTTTGGGAAAATAATTATCCCTCAAGATCAATTATTCAAAGCAAAAGTAAATAAATGAAAATTACTAACCCAAAATCTGTTCGTGAGAGATAATGTAAAATGCGGCATTTGTTATCTTTCAGAAAATTTAGGCTTATTCCAATAGAATACTAAATGTAATGATCCCGAAGGACCAATGAAATGTATACAAGTCATTAACGGAAACTACGTTCACTCTTGTTACACAATTTTTATGTTTTGGTATTATTGTCATTCATCTACACCGTGAAATATTTTTTATTTGTACATGCAAAACTAAAATTATTTTTTATTTCGTTCATGCGTTCAAGATGATACAAATGTAAGTAATTCTGTACTAAATTTGGTTCGTAACATCAACATGGCCTTTCCTTTATCCCCGGTCATCAACTGTAATGTGTTAAAATAATCAATGGTATCATAACCGTATAAAGGTGAAAATGTGATAACTCGTTAAAGTAAAAAATATATATTTGAAATATTGCTTTTTAACTTGTCGCCACCGTCTATCCTCATTATTGCAGGTTATTTGCCTGTAAATCTATGCTGGTTTAAGAAGGTAGATGTTACCTTAAATAACACACAATAACTCGCCATTTGATCATGAATAATTGTTTAATAATATTCATCTAAAGTTACGAAAATGACAGGTTCGTGATTGTCGCCGTCCAATTTATAAAAAGTGAGCGTGTATTTAGATGCTTTAATTGTATTGTTTAAATTTTCTTTGATGCCGTATTATTTTGGAACAATTCACGATTAAAAATTTGTAAATTAGATCTCAGTAACAATAACTCATAAAGAATGGTAAGGGATTAGTGTTTGTCGCCGGATAGTATGAAATGTTCGTTATCCTTTTAACCATATATTGCAAGTGAAGTGTTTTTATCCTTGAAACAACATTAGATGTTCTTTTTTGTATTAATATCACAATATAATACTTTCATATTATCACCATGTTCATAGTGTGCACAATTTTTTTTATTATTTATGTAGAATTTAACGTTGTGATGTGGTTTGGGTTAAAATTGAAAGGTTCGTTACCTGATTTAAAGGGTTTATGACTGCAATATGTACCCCGAGCACATCAAATGTTCTAAGTTACGTAAAAATTAGTATTTTATGCCAAAAATGAAACATTTTGTTGCTGTTTAAACAACATTATTGAATCTAAAATATGCTGAGAAAAGGTTCGTGATGAAAGGTTCGTGCGGTGATATATTTTGCTCGATGCCGCCAACACTATGCTTGTTTGTAAACGGCTGCGGATAACAAACATATGTACTATAATGTCATTTGGGTTGAAACGTTTCAACTCTTTCTATAATGGTTGCTTATTATTCGCAGCGCATGTTATAAACATGATCGAGAATTCCCATCAAAATCCTTTGGCAAGTGATTTTTATACTTTTCATGATTATTAAATGTCAAGAAAATTTTCTATTGCCTACCGAATCACAAACGATATTGTTTTCAAATGAAATAAGCGAATTTATATTTTTATGATGTTTACCAATACCATGTCGGATTACAAACAAGGAAAGGTTCGTGACCATTAGTCACGAACCTTTCCTATGATAATTTATGTGAATAAAATAATATATCTTATCCTGTAATGTATATAATATTATTTAAGAAAAATCTTGTGAGTATATCTTGTTTATACAGAAAAAGAACATCAAAAGAATGTCTGATTTTTACAAGACGTTACAACTGAAAAAGATGTATGTAAACAATAAACCTCGTACTCGCCTGAAAAGCTTGTTTTATAAAAAAGCAAATAAACATTATATTTGTGTGATTATAAATTCAAAATATGAAGTGAATTTAAAACAATTCTATAAAGATAAATTATTATGATGAGGGAAACATGATAAAATAAACATTTGACTCCATGAAAGGTTCGTTGTCTTGTGACAAATTGCAATGTCCAGTAGGCAAAGAAAAGATATGGCTGAACCCAAGGACACACCCTAAAAGGTTATGAAGCCTAGAGAAACAAGATATTCGCGGAGGTCATTTAAATAATTGGGAGGTGACGGCATTGAATTGGTCAATTCTTTGTTTGTTGCAAAAAGGCAGTTTCATTGAATAACGACAAATCATTAGAGAAATTGATTCCGAACTTATAATTTGATATGCTTGCGTTATATAGCTAATATATTTTTTATACTAGCTGAATGTTTCTCTTCGTAAAAAGCTTATGTTTATTTGTTTTAAAAGTAGGATCTAGTATTATTACCATATTGACACGTTTTCATTGGATTGAATTAGTTGTTATAAATTGAAGAAAACATTTATAAATTGTTTTACTACAGATGCCATTCCAATTTATCATTTATCATTTTTGAGAAATGAAAAGATTACAATAGATATCATTAGGTAATGAATATAATTGTATTCGAATGTCTATATCCGAACTTTATATCTGAATATAAATGTATCTATATTAGCATCAAAATTTTGATTTGACAATGAAAGGTTCGTTATTTTATATACCATATCTGAATTGAAAAAGTTAGTGAATATATGATTAAAATCTTAGCACCAGCAATGTATTTGATCTGGTAAACTGTTCTACTTCTTGATACATGTTTATCTTTTAATTAAGGTGTTGTTGTTTCAATTGTTTTAGACTGATATGCTGTATTGCTATGTCTTTAGTTACTATCATTTTACATTAAATACTATTCGATGCTTTATTTTACAACAAATTGTGAACCAGTATACTATAAAGTCAAGAAAGATAATGGAATTTATACTCAATATCATTGTCTGATGTCTATATGTATGCTTTGGGGTATATTAATGGGCTTCTTTTTTGTTTGAGTTTATGGTTGAAAGGTTCGTTAGCTTTACATAGTACTTAGATTTTAGCAAGGTGATCATTTACCTAACAATAAAGCATATACATCGCATACAATTGCTAGCAGAGATACTACGGTTTTTGTTTATGCCAAGAACTATACTTATTACACTGGGTCGTAGCTCTTATAATAATGAGACAAATCGTAATCACAGTTAAGCAGTATATCTTGATT